ACACTTCTCCCCATCTCACCATGCTGTCCTTTCCCTTTCTATTGTCTCTGGCTGCAGAGTGAGCCCAGCCTGCTGTTTCACCTCCAGCAAAGAAAGATCAGTGGAAATGCCTGATTGCTTAAAGTACAGTACAAGTAGCACCAGGCTTTGATATAGCAATTCCTGTCTCAGACAATTTAGCTTTTGATCTCTGGATGCAGTTAATTGCTAGCTATGCAGACGTTTGTGAAGGAGAAAACAATCACAAGCAATTTTAGAAGTGAGATGCTTGATGCTTAATCTTGCACCTGTCCTAAGAAATGAAATGGGCTTTTCTTAGTCTGGATCATGCTGCACAGAACTGCAGATCAACCAAAGGCAAAACATTTCAAATGTCAAATAGATGCAAATCCACTGCTCTCTCTCATGATAAAAAGAGATAATCACCAGGATAAAAACAATAAGCTGTTGCAACCAATATACACTCATTAACTGCATTCTTCATGTCTTGAAAATAAGGCAATACATCACATACAGAATAACTGGAAAAAGCAGCTACATTCATTGTTCATTTTGTTCTTTTTTTTTTTTTTTTTTTTCCTTCATGTGGGTAATACAAGGACTTGTATTACAATACAAGGACAAGCAGAGAGCCAAGCCTCACCTCTCCAGGGTGAAAAGCAATGCTATTTTCAGATGAGGAAGGGAGGAAGATAAGACAGGACACCCTGGAGTGCACCTAATCTAGGTTCAAGTCCGAGCATGTAAAACAAATGCTAGCAAAAAAAAAACCCTGTCTAAGAGCTGTTTAGGTATGTCTTACTCCCTCTCTCAACCATAGCTGATACCCACCACCAATTTGCTTCTTTCTCCTGAGTGTTATAATGACTCATCTCAAACCCTTGAAAGCCTGATAATTTGGGATTGCCTTAAGAAATGTCACACCACAATCCAGTTTAGCCCACACACTGCAGCCAGATGAGGCTGGCAGTGAGGGCTTCAGACTGCTATACAGAACAGGGCAAGCACCTCTCCCTCACTCACTTGCTGCCCCCCTCTTAGGATCTCACTGTGCTGGAGGGGGTAGCCATGTAGCCCATTTGACTTGCCCCCTGTACTCAGTTTTGATTACTTACCCCTCCCTGCACCCGCTGGTAGTCTGGCATCGCCCATACACAGGAGCAACAGTGCAGTTCTCCGTTGTGTGAAATAGCACTTCCCTGTCTCTGCTTCAGTCTGATAACCAGCTTGCCTGTTGAGCAGCGCTTGGATGCTTTTAGCAAACTCTCCACAGTGACTCAAGCTGTCTTTCATTTTTTTCCTGAGCTAAGAGATCATAATTTTGTATATGTAGTCACTTTTCCCCTGGCAGCCCCCAACACAGAATTTCATTTTAGTGCAATGAGCTATTGCAGCATCTTTTCAGAGTCAGCATTAACTTTGGTTATCCTGAATAACAATTGAACAGTTGTAAGCGTTGCCACTATTTGCTTGTACCACCTTCTCCAGGCCACATTAGGAAGATGCTGAACATCAGGCCCAGGACTGGCATTCGTAGGACCTCCTCCTGATGTACAGGATGACTGTTTCTTCCAACCCTCTCCTTTCTGGGGTTTAGCCCACAGGTAACCTCTCCTGGGTTAACCCAGAGGGTAACCTCTCCTACTCCATAACAAGTGCCATAGGAGCCTTTCTTGCTTTCCTAAGTCTGTGTTGAAAACTACAAATCCCAGACAAGCACAATGTGTATGCTCATGAAATCCTTGGAAGAGTTCATGTGGCTCTCAGGTTTGATCTTCCTCTCAACACCCATGTTTCGTCTCAAACCTCCAGCCAAATCTATGAAATGAAAGCCTTGACTGACTGCTAACATCCAGGATCACCCCTACAGCTCTGTTCAAAGCCTGGCATCACTTTCCCACTTCCATCCCTCTAAACCCAGAACGGATCGTAGTGCCAGATTACACACAGTTAGTAATTCAGAAATTTCTTATTTGTGGTGTGTGTTTTTTCAGGACTCCTGGGTAAACACCATCTGGTGCTGAGAATTTGTTAATGTTTAGTTTATCAATTTGTTCTAACATGCCTTTTCTCAACACCTCCATTTGAGGTGGTTCCTCAGACTCCCTCCCATTCGCATTGTCTCCATCGTAGTGAATGCCAATGCAAAGAATCTGCCCAGCTTTTCTGTGATGCACTTGCTGTCCACTGGCAGATCTTTCCACACAGGGGTCATTAATGGGCCCCACGGGCTCCTGGTCACCTCTATCGACTGTGGCCTGTTGTTGCACAACCAAAATGATCATGATAATATTTATACATCAAAATAGATTTTAAATAAATTTATACTTATAATACACACTGCTGAGTTTACTATGAAAATTTCAGATGGAAAACACCAAATGCGATCTTGGTACACATCCAAACACAAATGTGTATTCTTCTGAGTAATTCCTAAACAGGAACAATTTTTATCTTAGGGATCTACCAAAGCTTACTGATTACCAGCCCACAAGCACATTGTGTAGCCTTCAGTCACATCAAGTGCTCGCTATTGACAGAGATGAATGGAGCCTGGAACAGCACCTTTCTTTGTGTTAAATGTTCCATTCAATCCCTGAAAGTACTCAACAGGAGAAAGAGAAACCAAATACAAGATGACCCTTGCCTAGCCAGCCATAGTGCTTTTGAAGCCCTGTTTATGTGAAGAGTTGTTAAGAAGATTTATGTGAGGTTTCTCATGAAAATTCATAACAAATGTTTCAGTAGTGGAAGGTAAAATATTTATTAGAAACAGTGGATTGAAGAGAAAAGCTCGTCCCTGTGATCACTTTGTCATACATAAAATAAGCAATAAAGATGACTGCCTAACATTTACTTACAGTCCCAACTTTAAGCCCTTAGAAAAAGAGAACACGGACATAAGGGGCAGCAGTTTCTACAGCACTGAAAGAGAAGAGAGCGGCTTTGGTGCAAATGAGAGGGAGATGAGGAGAATGATTTATAAGTTCCTTGATTAATCTTTCACTTTATGTGGGAACAGTCTTGGGCATTTGATTAAATATCCAAGGTAGGAGAACAACATCTAATAATGTAAAATCTTGTTTTGCAGCTGCTTCCAAGATCTCGCTCTTTCTTCTGTGAAAGTGATTTGAATTTCAGATTATTGAGGTTTTGATTTGGTTTTTTGCTTTTTTTTTTCCTAAATTAAAGCTGACGTCTCTGGAATAAATTAAAGTGTAGAGGTGTGGAAAGGACAGGAAGAGTCCTGTTTACTAACTAGCGCAGTTTCTCCATCTTCTCCTGGTCCTGAAAGTAAGGAAAGCAATCATAACAATAAGGAACATGCTTTTGGTGCTGGGGCAAAAGATCATAGCAGAAAAATTAATTGGGATGCTGTTTACAGCTGAAATATATCACTGTGTATTCATTAGCACTGGGCATGACAACACATAGGGAACATTACTCACATAGATGTGGTTAGGATAATGAACCAGCAACCCATATCTGGGAACTTAAAGCAACCCTTGCAAGTTCATCTGTCAGAATTCTCTGGTACTTGAGGCAAGGGGATGAGGGGAGGAGCCTGAGAGAACTTGAAATAGCATAACTTCATGTGGGAAGATAGTACCATCACACAGCTCTGAACAATGGAGAGAAATCTAAAATTCTTTCTCATTAAAGAACATTTCTAGGTGCTACTGCCTTTCTCCTCTCTGTTTTCTGGGTATCATTTTAATGAATATGTATATTCCGGAATATTTTATTTATATACTTTCACTCCTTCTTTATCATACTCCTACCTTGTTACTAAGTGATGGGGCTGTGCTGTTGCTACGTATTCTTCCTCAATAACCCCCCTCATTTGGTGCTGCCATTCTTCTCCTTGTCCAAACAGGCCACAGCCAACAGCCAGGAGAAACAGCCGGCTTTGTTTCAAGGCCCCAGGTTTCACTTGTATTGGTAATTGCATGAGCTATGCTGAGTTCACAGATGTGTGGCCTCATGAAACTGTCTTGCTATTGCTACAGCACAACTTGCAGCCTCCCAGACCTCTACCCTGCCAAGGCAACCAGACCAATCCAAACCGATGAGCTGAGTGATCTGCCAGCATTGGTGGGACAGTTCACCCAAGAAGGAGACTCCTCTTGCAAGTACGCCCATCCTCAGGCACACAGCTCTACCATGAGACTATGTCCAACTCCAGGCATCCCACCAGAGTCCACCTGAGGTCTCACAGACAGAGAGCCCAAACAGACAAACAGTTTAGACAGAAGAGAGAACTCATTCGAGATTAATCAGATTGCAGACACCTGCTGTGCTGGAAAAAACAGGTTAGTGCATTTCGATAGGGGTGTTTGACCAAGGTGTAGTTGCAGCAGGAGATGCACTGCCACTCCCACCTCACTGCCCAGGGAAAGATAACACCATGTATGGGGACCACCCGAGGGGCATGTCCAACCTTCTGGTGCTCCAGGGATATAAGGCTTATGAGGTGCAGTTAAGGCAGAGGTGAAGGGTCTCAGTTCAGAGCCAAGCTGAGAGCACCAGTTCCAGGCTGCAGCCCCAGTCCTGGACACTTGCGCACTGAGGTGTGGTGAGCTGGCTTCACCTACATCCCTTGTGGGGTGCTGACAGGGCAAGGGGAGCGCCTGGCCCTGGGTGAGGATCAGGGCTGGAGATGCAGTGGATGCTCCCAGTGCTGTGGATCAGCCATTGTGTCAGTGGGAGGACAGTGGAGCTGCACTGCACAACACAGCCTTGATGAGACCCAGCCTGTCCTCTGGTGCTGCAGGGCTCCCTGCAAAGGAAAGGAAACTTCAGACAAATGTGCATTTGAAAGCCAGAGAGACCATCTTTATAATCTAGTGTGAGCTTCCAAATTCCCTGGGAATAGTACCTCACCCAGTAATTCCTGCTTCAGATTTATTTGGATGTTTTCAAACAATGTTGACCTTCACAGTGTATTATGATCTGCATACAAGCAGACAAGCAAATTATAGCTCCATGTTTACAAAAGCTTACCCTGTAGTATCAATCAATTTATTTTTCACTAATACATTCACATTTCCTTCTCACATATCTCAAATTCTAATTAATGACAACCAATGGCTTCGTTTAAAATACAAGAAATATCCTGTGTGTTATGCAACTACAACTAGGAAGGGAGGGGAAGGGAGAGACAGAAAAAAACGCCCATTTGTTTACTCTCTGTCTGCAATTTGTAAAGCAGATGATCTGGGTGTTTAGAACTGCTTTAAGAGTATAGCTTTGTCAGCCAGGCTCCTGATCCAAGCCAATTTTTCCAGCTGATTTGCAGACCCCCAAAACGGGTGTTCCTAAGCCTGTTGTAAACATGAAAATGACAGATACCATCCTGGTGGATAATTCTCTAGCAGTGACATCCACTGCAGCTGTGAGAGGCAAGCTGGAGCAAAGCTTGCCTCATCCCACAGCATAATCCCAGGTTTTCACAAACAATAAACTGTTTTGTATCCTAGCCCAACAGTCAGCTCACTAAAACACCAGACCTCATTTTTCCTATGCTCACTTGCCTTCCTGTTATTTTTCCATCTCTGATAAAGTCTGGTTCACTGCTAGTTACCCCTTCTCTACTCTGTCCTATTCCTCAGTTCCCTCACCGAGAACCCCCATGTGGGAGCTTTCAGGCCCTAATTTCTCTAGTTTAGCATGGATAGCAATTAATTTTAGCAGGAAAAATGGGAGCCAAAATTCACTGATGCAGACAGGGATTTACATTGTGGAAACAACAAACTTGCCTTGATCTCCTTGAAGTCCGATTCCTGGCATGTTTAATTTAAAACAAATATATCTCCTGCTGAGTGGATAGTTGGCTTGAAATTTGGACTGAAGTGGTGTCAAGCTGCTCAGTGGTAATAAGTGGCACATTTGCCTCAGCTTCCTCTCAAAAGGTATTTATTTTTGGTCTGAGAACTCTGAAGTTAATTTGGCTGCTGGTCCAAAGAGATCCCACTCATGTAAAGGTTTTCATGCTTGAAAAACATGTAAGAACATAGGTATTTATGAATGAAGCAGCAATGGACCATAGTCAGTACAGCACTTTACATTGTGCAGCCTTTTGCTTTCCTTTCAAACTGAAGAATGCTTCAGTTTTTGTTAGCTCTCCTCTGAAACACACCCTGTAGTTTATTTCTTCACTCAGACGTAACACACTGAGTTCAGCTGGCATGTTTTTTTAAAAAAAAAGCTCCAATTATTGCCCAGGATAAAGCAACAATTTTACAGCATTTTCTAGAAAAGAAGAAAAAGCCTAATGAGCTATTTCCCAGCTTCAATCTTGACAATGTATCTATGACCTGTTTATCTCATATTCGCCAGGCTTTCCCACCAGGCTCATTATCGAGGTATAATAGCACCCATCAAGAATAATAGGAGCAAATATATAGAGTGGTCAATTCAGATGTAATACTCAGCCTTACAGAGATGCCTCAAATAAACTGCCAAGAAAATTACAATGAAGTTTTGACAGAAGAATTTGCATGCAATACTTATTAAAAATATAACACAGACTAAACCTTAATATCTTTAACAATGACAAAATGACAGTTGAAAGTGACCTTAATGGTATGAATATTTAATTGGGCTTAATAAAATGTACAGTCAAGACCAATACCAATAACTAATTTCAGGTACTAGCTTATTTTTTGTGTGCTTTAAAACTATTTTGCTTGGTCACTGTGGGGGGGAATAAAAACAACAAAAAAAGTGGTTTACAGCTCATTGCTGAAAAGAAGTTGGAGCTGGCTGCCTCTTTTCAGGAAAGACACACTGCCAGGTTGGTACACAAGACATAACTTTAAGGAGTTTAAATGTTTCTTTTCCTGAGGAATAGTAAAATCACCCAAACAAACATAATTACTTTCCAAGAGGCAGCACTTTGAGCCATACATACAGGGAAGCAAAACACTTTTTTCCAGTTGCCATTACCAGCAGACCTGCCCAATCCTTCTGTGTAGCTGGATTTGGAAACTCTTCACAGGGCACCAGCCTTTGATGCCTTTTTTCCTGGAGCATCCCACTGCACTATAACAGAAATAATGGTACGTTTGTGCCAGCCCCCAAAAATTCTGCCTGCTGTTGCAGAATGGGTGTTAGCAGGGGAAACGAGGCCTCAGTTTTAAGTGGGAGAGGGGAGGCAGCCCACACTGCCACAACCCAGGCTGGGATCTGTCCCTGAGGACTGAGATAGGTGCCACTGATTAATGCCAGTGGGTCAGAGGACAGCCAGAGCTGGCCTAGTGCTGGCATCGCATCTCCATCTCAGCCTGAAGGTGGTGAGTGCTGCTCACCCACCTTGTGCTACCCTTTTGGAGCCATATTTAGATGTGGTTACCTGGGAGTAAGAGCTCCGAAACCCCAATACAGCTCTGCCCAAATTGCACTGGGATTTATTCTGATTGGGCTGTGCATTAAGCATTGTGCATGCTCCTGCTGCACTGTGACAGACATCAGGGGGTGAGCAGCCTGGTCGGAGGCTTACCAACAGCGAAGTAGGTGGAAAGAGTCTGTGCTGGCTGTTTTTTGACTGACAGGGCTAACAACTCTCTTGGCTCCCATTACCTCCATCTTGAGAAGTCTGATTCATCACAGGGGTCACCCAAGGGAGAGGGACTGCTGCAAGGAGCTGAAGCATTACTGGAGCAGAGCAAAGTGCTATGAGCATGTGAAGATATGGCAGCAACTGGCAAGAAGAGCTGATTGCTTTAAGAGAACACACAGTGTGAAAGACAGCAATAAAACATCCATGCTGTGCATCGCAGGAGTTGCAGCAATACTTTTAACAGCAGCCTGTGCTCTTCAGTGGGTGGGATGCTCTCAGGGTTGGACCTGTCAGCATGGCCGTACCATTTAGACCAAGGGAATGTGGCTAGCTTTGTTTCAGTTTGTGATTCACACCAATGGCTGCTGCTCTTCCCCAAGATAGACCCCTTCCACTCTTTTGGGCTGCCCTAAATTCATAAGGACAGTCCTGGAGTTTCCCTCTTTGAACAACCAAGAAGGTGCACGATGCGAGTGAATTCATTTTGGAGACAAAGCATGCAAATAAGATGCAGGGTCTTCTTCCCAGTCAGGGTCATACTGGGCTGGGTCATGATGGGGAAGATATTTAGAGTTCTGGTGACATCTGACTTACAGCCTTTGGGGAAGAGAAAGTGTCTACCCAGTGCAGACTGCCTAGCTGTGCCTAGGGACTGAGCTCCCATTCAGGAGGGTTTGTAAATGATCCTTACCTAAAATCCAGTGGAGATGAGCAGTCACATCCTTAGCAGTTATCTCCCTGTGTTGGGACAGCTGCTACTCCTGGGGGAGAAAATGCACATCTTTCCTCCCAACCGTCATCTATTCCTGGGCGTGAGAAATGACGGTGAAATTCTGCATTGAAATTTGACCGCAAACACAGCACCTTCTCACACTGCTCACTGTGAACTGTCACATCTGCTGACTTCAGGTGACTGAAATAGATTCTTATTACCTTCTGCTTGTTGGTTGCATCAAACCAACACCATTGAGAGAGAAAGAGGAAAAAGGTGGACAATTTTCCCTATTTTGTCAGCTTTCACAACATTTTCTTTACCAGGACAGTGAAAAGCCACAGCCTCACATACAGATCCCAAATAATTATGAAACACAATATGGACTCCTACAACACAATATTTTTAAGGTTATTTTTCAGAGCAGAGCCATACTCTAACGTTTTATAGAATTACTTCCTGCAGACTGCGTTTTTTCAGCAGCACAGCTATTTTTAGCATCCAAAGCAGATTCTGGAACCACCAATCTAAAACATACCACAAGGTACACAGATACCAACTCTCCTGATGTCCCAAACCTTGACTCTGCACTTACACTACCCCAGGGTCTTTTAATTTTTCTGATCTGTCAGGGCATATCCCAAACAAAGCATTTCTGGCAGCACGGCTCCTCCAGCACCGTTCAGATGTCTTGGATCAGAGCTAACATGGAAAGGAGACAGCTATTTAATGAATAACAGACACCACAGGAGCCAGGTTTTACTTAGGGTCTTTCACACAACAGAAGAAGAAATGAAGTCCTAGGGAAGGGAGGTCTGATCATGTCTTTGTCATCATGCAGCCATGTCAAATCACCAGCTCAGTCTGTGTAGATGCTCCTGGCTCTACACAGAGAGTATGTGCCCTGGCTGCAGAAATGGTGCCGCTCTGTTTGCTGCTTTTCAGTGCAGGATATTTATACGGTATAGACGGTTCTTCAGGCATAACAAGGGAAAGAGCAAGTAGACAGATGATAATTTTGTGCTGTGCAAAGAAACATCATGAACAAAGCCCAGTGAGCAGATAAATCCCAGCCCGGTCAATTGTGAAGTTACATCTTTATCTACCATTGTTACCCAGAAGAGGGAAACATCCAGCTCTCTGGCAGTTTTGCTCCGGCACCAACTGTAAGACGTGTCAATAGCTCTAATTGCTGAAAACCTTGTCGCAGTGATGAAAACCACGCTTTCTGTTCTCTCTCAGGGACAGCCAAAGATACTGATCTGAAGCCAGAGTCTTTTTTCCCATGGAGACTTATGGCACTGCAGTAAACCAACTTGCTTAATCAACCCTCTGATTTACATGGTCTCAGATCAGGTCCTCTCTGACTCTTCACACACCTGACACTTAAAGTGCAGATGCCTGTCATTCAAAGGCCTAAAAACCATCACAAAAATCATTACAGCTTTTTTTTTCCAGACTCCTCACCTGGGGGAAATTAATTCCAAGTCCCTAGACATGGAGCCAGCAATGGTGAAACAGCACAGCAGGTCAAGCCAAGCTCGCCCCTGCTCCCACCCCTGTGACCAGCTCTGTGGCAGATGTGCCTGATGGGGCCAATGCCAGACCACCACCAGCCACCTTCCCTGTGATGCTCCAGCACACGCAGAGGTGGGGAAGGGGAAAAAGAAATAAATCACTTCCTTACACTTCTGCTTTGTCCTCTCCTTATGATGGTGTGAGCCCTGATGGAGGCAGCTCTCTACAGCTTCCTCAGCTCAGGGGCTTCAGGGAGGGATTTGAGAGCTTCATGGGTAGGGACCCCATTTCTGCCTGGGAAGCAATCTACAGCTTCCAAAACTGATGTTTTCTAGCTCTGGCATTGGGCGAGCAGATTGCACCTCCACTGTACAGAGTGGCCTTGCCACCAGCAGGACATCATGTCCTCCTGCCCACATCCCAGGCCAAAGCAACCAAGAAGTAACCCATTACTTCCCCAAGGACATTTCCCAAACATGACCAGTAACCCGCTGAGCTCCTGCAGAGCAAGCCCCTGGTTTGTATGTTGTAGGATGTACTGCAAAGCCATGACCAGTCATGTTGACACCTGAAGGAACTGCTTCCATATTGATCCTTCTGCTCAGCAGTTTGTGGGTTACTCAAGGGCATCTGAAATAAACCAGGCAGAATTTTTACTGGGAAGGCTGACTCTTTCACCAAGAGTCAAACACTCTGTGGTGATGGTGAAATAATTTTTTTACACATGTACATGATTTTTTTAAATTATTTTTATGATAATGAAGGTCATATCCCCAGGAGAGTGTTTATTTTGCTCTCCTTTCATTCACATGCAGAGACAGGAGGGAGAGGTAAGGTAGGGAACTGAAAGAAAAGGGCAAAAGGTAGTGCTGAAGCAACGCTGAAGAAATAATACGTGGTGATTGGTATGAGGGGCTAGTTTGTCAATTTGTGCAAGTCAACATCTGTGAAACAAGAAGTGAGCTGCATCTCCTGGCGAGCTGACCCCTTCCCTGCAGAAACTGCCTAATTCTTGGCTGCTAAAATGAGGAAGTAGCAGGCGAGTTATATACCCTTCTAGGTGACTGTTTCCAAATATTGCCAAACAGTTTCAGTGTTCCTTTCTTGCTTCTCAGGGTTACATATCCTTGGACACGGTTTCTATAACAGGTTTCTAGCATCCTTTCACATATCCTTAAAATGGTCTGTAATGTTAGAGAGCACTCTAATTTTGCACAGTTTAAACCAGCCATAACTACAGAGCTGTTATATCCTGTGCATCTTGCCTCAAGGCACAACGTAAATGAAAGTGGAGCTAAGAATAGGGCCTCATGTCTCAGCTGAGGGGAGAAGCATGTGCCTGCCTACATAAAGAGAAGTAGGTTATGTTTGGAATAGCAAGAGACTTTTTTCTTTCTTTTTTTCCTCAAGAAGAAAATAAAGTGTCAAAACTATCAACTAAGCAGAGCTGATCTATTCTCCTTGCCTCATTCCTAAGCAGGTAAACTGTATATATAAGAAAAACAGACAGACAGAAAACTCCCCAAGGAGAATCTCATCTTAAGACATAATGAATTCAGTCTTCAGAGACCATGAAGTCTGAGTGTTTTTAAGCTCTGTAATGTCAGTCGAATAATTATCTCACAAAATGTGTTTGTGTAGGTGAGGTCCCTGTGGTTTGGTTGCTTCCCTGCTATGAAATAGAAAGCTGCTAACCCCTTGGAAAAAAAGAATACAATAAATACAGGGAAATCAGAGAACATGAGGTTTGTACAAACACCGCTTTCCACTTGTATTCTTCATTTAAGTCCTGCTGATAGAATACCTTAGAAATAATGCTTCCATGTGATATAGGCTTCTCTCCCAGTTGTACGTGCAGACAACCAGAGCGAAACATTAAAATAAAGAAAATAAAACACGCTACCAAACAGTTGAGTGCTAAACATATCATTAACTGTAGATTTCACGCTGAAGAGAAATACAGAAATTTCAGAAAAACATCCTAATCAAACACATTTATATTATTTATGTTAAGTTAATTAAAAATAGAGTATTAATTCAGTTGCAAAGTGACTATGTCATTAACCTGATTAGATATTTTCACATGTAGAATATTTTACATTTAGGAGATAAAATCTGGCAGTGTGGCCCAGTGAATATGGGACTGGATTAAGAATTAATCCATTAATTGGCTGGGCAGTTGGGCAAAGCACATAATCCCTCTGCACGCCTCATTTTTCTTCATCTTTAATACAGAGTTTTTATGCTCTCCAACTTTCACAAAGTGCTTTGATATACACAGATAAAAGGCTTATATTAATTATTATAGATGAGTACTGAAATGCCATAAAAGCATTGCTTAATGAAATATTGATTTAAAAAATATCAAGCGGGAATAATTCCTTGCCTTAGATATTGAGGAAATGCCTGTGAACTAGGGGTCTTAGATCCATCTCCTCAGAGATGATTTGCTGCTCTAAATGGGGGAGCAAACAGAAAACAGAAGTATTGCATTGCTCAGTGGAAAAGCCAAGTCCTGGGTCCCCTAAATGACCAGCTGGGAGTGCCATGAACAGCCCTACCACATGCACCTAAGATGCCACCACCACGCATGGGAAGTGACTTCAGTGTCTTTGGGCTGGGATTTTTGAAGTGGAAATGAAACTGAGGGAAGTTAAAGATATAATTTGACCCCTTGCAAAAAGCTTCCCAGTTTGTGCTCTGTCTCTTTCAATGGAAAGTGGTCTGGACCTAAAGGGGGGGGGGGGTAGCATTTAAAGGTTAGTAGCTAATGAGAATGTTTGGAATTGGAGAGACCAGGGATGAGAGGAGGAGGAGGCAGGGGTTTCTGCTAACTAAATTAGGGAATCAACAGAAAGCTGTTCAAGCTTACATCTGCAGAGACATTTACAGGATCCCACAAACACCTACAGTTTAACATGTGTTGGGTATTTTAGATGACAGTGGTATGCTGAAACATTTCAATAACACAGTAAGAATGTTTCTTAACTGTAAGGGAGCCTGACAACAGCCTTGTAATCCATGCTTTGTTGTTAGAAGTGCTTGGAAATAGTTTGGAAAGCTATCTGGAGCATCTAGGAGGTGGAAATGTGTGTGAGCAGGATGCAGTGGGTTAAACTAAATAATCTGGTCTTTCCACCCTCACAGTTATAAAACATAACACCTTTCTTTTTATGTTCGTATTAGCACCCTTCTCTCAATTCTGAGCTTTTTTTGTGTTACTATGTTTTTCTCTGACCATTCCACATTTTTCCTGAAAGCACTTCCCCCTTCTTTCTTTATGCCATTTCATGGACCAGAGAGCGCCAAGCTAGAACTGACCACAGCCATGTTTTCTGAAGCAACAGCAAACACTAATGAAAAGTTTACCAACCTAACTCACTTTTGCTTTCCTGCCAGAAAATCACTGAGAAAAGTGGTGGAGGACAAGCAGGATGGACTCAAGCCCCTTAGCTGATCTGCCCATGAGTGATGGGTCACAGAGCCAGTGAGCACAGTGGTGATGCTGCTGCTCACCCACCAAAAGAACAGCAGAGACACGTGCAAAGCTGTGCTCTCACCTTTGCTTGTTCCCCAACCTACATCTGCAGTTTCTGAAAGCAAATCAGGCTGCAGGAGAGGCTGGTGGCACGGCACAGCCATTAGGGTTTGCACCATGCTTGGGCTGCAGATGAGCCCCTGGACACCATGGGGGGGTTTGCACTGTATAAAGGCAAAGTCCTGGCGATTTCCTGACGAGACTGCAGTGCAGACAGATATTTTATCACAGGTGTAATTTTAAGAGCAACCAGAGCTCTGCAGGGCTATTTGCATCTCCCCATTTAGGCATTTTGTGTAAGTGCTTTGCTGAATCTGTCCCTGGAAGCTTATTGATTTGGTTTTAAGCCATGTTTAGACTGCCTACCCCACGCAACAGTTTGGCAAAGTCTAATTAACAACCTCACCACCACTTACATGACCCAGAAGCACAGTTTAAAGCACAGATGGAAGTGAAGACAAATAAAAGTTCCGATAGGATGAAATTCAGATAACCCTGTATCAAATGCCTATGCCACAATTAGCACAGCCTGCTTCCATGAGACCCTTGCAGAGGTAAGGTGATATTCAGTGGGAATTGGGGTATTGGGTTTTGGCATTTAATAGCAGAGAGAGCATAGTTAGACCTGAAAACACAAAATGAAGACAACATTCCAAGCAGTGGATGCCTGGCCCAGCCCAGCTTGCAGAGCCCTCCTGGGATGCATTTGAAGGAAGCCTGTAGAAAAGCAGGATGACTGAGCTTGTAACCTCCTGCACCAGGGGACATGTGCCCTGTACTCAGCCTTCTGTGGCCTCTGCACATTAAAAGAAGCAATTCAATACAGCAGAAATAACAGAAGCCAACAAAAAGCTCCACCACATTTACCAGTTTACGGCATGGGGGCTGAGGAAATCTCTCATCTGCAGCAATGCATTTCTGGCTTTTTGTTGGTCAGTGCCAGAACTGCAGGTGCAGAGGCTCAAGGTGCACTAATGCATGTCCCTCTACCCTTTCAGGGCACTCTGCACCGAGTACAGGAGCCACCATTAAAAAGGAATCAAGCTCAACAGAGAGGGTCTTAGAGTTCAGTTTTGCCTTTTCCCCTGCGAGCAGGAGTGTAGCCCTCTGTTTCCAGGGCCGCTCTGTGCCAGTCACTCTCTTGGGTTAGCCGGGTCTGTGATCCTGCAACAGAAGACAATACAGCAGCATAAATAAGAAATACCTCCACAGAAATAATTTAAAGGGATGATCTAGAAATAGATCAAATCCTCAGCCAGGGCTTCAGTTTTGTCGGTGATGGTAGCTTTGATGTGCCTTCTTCAGGCACCATGCTAAATTCATACACCCATCTCATTTTAAAGAGTGGGAAAATTAATTCTTATTTTAGCTCCGTCACTTCAGAGAACATACACCAAGAAGGAACCAGCCTATTAAAATAGAATTGAACTCAAGTCAGAGAGGTGAAAGTCTAATGCTTTATGAGTATCCATTAAGTACGTGGTAAAAGTACAGAATATTCCAGATTTTATCCATCCGATCTTTATAGTTATCTAACTAATGGAGACAAATCTGAAAGCTGGATCTATTAAACTCCTCATA